CAGACTTGCCTGCCAGGGTTCTACAGAGAAATAGAGCCAACAATTTAAAGAAGGTTGGGCTAAAAAGTGCTACTACAAAATCATGTTAGCATTATTAAACAAAAATATCAAAATGTAAAGTCATTGTGCTTCACATTTCCTGCATCTAGATCTATATACTTCTGACGATAGGAGCCCTGCCCTGGTGGCATAGTGATTATGCATCAGTCTGTTAACTGAGATGTGCGCAGTTTGAAACAATCAGCTGCTCCTTGGAAGAAAGATAAGACTTTTCTACCACTGTAAAGAGTTACAGACTCAAAAACTCACAGGGAAAGTTCTATCCTGCCCTGTAGGGTTGCCATGAGTCAGAATTGACTCAATGACAGTGAATTGAGTTGTTTGTTTGTTTGTTTTTAGCCCTGCCCCCAAAGAAATCTATGCTATTTTGTTTACACCATTTCAAAACATTTTCATCATCCTTCAGGGGGACAATCTATGTTCCTTTTAAAATATTTTTTGTTTTTGTTTTTAGTTTCAAGAGCAAAAATAACTAAAGGGACAAAACTAGACTTGTAAGGTGATAGAGTAATGTTTCCCAATGAAATTCTTCAAGATGAGCAGTTACATTGTTGTGATGAAAAAAAAAGAAATCCTCAGTACAGCTTTCCTGGTCTTTTTCTCACCTATGCAGTTTTCAGTTTTCTTAAAATTTGTTACAGTACGCCCTGTCATTGTCCTATGTCCTTTGAGAAAAATCTATCAAGACAACCCCGGTGGGGGTGTGGGAGGATGGGAAGAGACCTGATACCAAGGGCTCAATAGAAACTAAATGTCTAGAAAAGAATGCTGGCAACATATGTACAAATATGCTTGATATAGTTGATGTATGGATTGTTGTAAGAGCCCCCAATAAAATGATCTTTTAATAAAAACAAAAAAAGATTACCCCTTGAGGGGTGGGGGAAAATCTCCATAACCTTTTGATCTGACTGCTTTGCATTGAATTGAACCGGCCCAACCGATTCCTTCAGAAACCATTCTGGATTGGAACTTTTTAAACTAGCTCTCTAACAAGAAAAATACAAATATATTACTGAGAATTTGTTGCAGCTATCCACTGATTGGAGAGGCATGTTTAAACATGTTTAATAAATAGATAATGTCATGCTAAATGAGAAAGAGTTGAAGTTGTCAAGGATTTTATCTTGCTTGGATCCACAATCAATACTCATGGAAGCAGCAGTCAAGAGATCAAAAGACATATTACATTAGGTAAATCTGCTGAACAAGAGCTCATTAGAGAATTTAAAAACAAGGATCTTACTTTGAGCACTAAGGTGTGCCTGACCCAATCCATGGCATTCTCCATTGCCTCATATGCATGTAGAAGTTGAACATTGAATAAGGAACACTGAAGAAAAATCAATGCA